GGGGGGGGGGGGGGGGGGGGGGGGGGGGGGGGGGGGGCGTAGGAGAAACACTCGAGCACAACACCGTGCCGCATCATCGTCCATGCCGAGCTAGCGTAGCCGGTCGCCCGTCCCCGGAAAGCAGATAGTAGTCGCAACTATGGTCTACCGGTTTTCTGACGTACCTGGTTGTTGTTGTTTTTGTTGTTCTTGTTTCGTGCCTCCGGTGGGGACGGCGGCGGCGCTTGTATGCCGCGCTTTTTTCTCCGGACAGAAGTCGAAGGACGGGAAAACCCCCGCGACGGCGGCCGAGGCGGCGGCGGCGGCGGCGGGGATGACGGCCGTCCTCCCGCCGGTCGTGCGCAAGCCGCCCGCCCTATCGAGGGGCGAGGTGGCCGTCCTGGAGGCCCTGTACGCCGTGGGTTCGGACGCCCCCCCGATCAGGAAGCAAGCGCTGGACTTCGGCCTGGGCCTTGACGCCGCGGAACAGCTCGAGAGCGAGGGCATCCTGACCTCCTCGAAGCTGACCGAGTCCAGCATCACGTCCTTCCAGACGAAGCTCAAGGTGGGTGGGTGGTTGGGTGGGTGGGTGGGTTTGTTGTTTCGGGCACGGCGGCAAGCAAGTGGTGCATGCGAGTTTTTTTTTTTTTTGTGTATGTCGCGCATTTCGACGTGTGTGTCGCGTGTGTCGCCGTGTGTCGCCGTGTGTGTGTGTGCCTTGTTGTTATTTAGCATCGACCGCGCTAACCGGTTGACCAATGAAAAGACGGTAGCCTCCGTGTTCTCTGTGTGTGCTTTGTGTGCTATTGTTATTCTCATCGACCGCGCTAACCGGCTGGCAAGAATAAATGACGTCAGCGTGCATGTGTGTGTGCCGAGCTCGAAAGGTTCGATGGCAACACCGTCCACTCGCCCACTTGCCGGGTGTCGCGGCGCACCGCGTGTCTTCGTGATAAAGCTGTACGCTAGGGCAACGAAAACAAGGATTGTCCGTCCATCCATCCGTCCATGGACTCGCACCCCTGTCTTTTCAACTAACTCGAAGAGGGGAAGAACGGGGCTCCCGCCCCATCCTCCGCGTTGGCTTTGTGCCTGCCCTTCTCGTTGTTCTGTCTTGTCCGAGCTTTTACCGTTGGGGGGTGTATTGCTTCTTGAAAGTGTTGTTTGACGCTTCTCTGCGCTCGTGTGAAGCTCGTGTTCGGGCTGGCTTGTGCGGCGCGCAACGTTTTTTTCTTGCCCTTGGAAATATTCCCAAAGGAAAGGGATTGGATAGAGGCCAGAACTTTCTTTTTTTTGCAACAGCAACAAAAAAGAACAGCAGTAACAAGTTCCTGCGCCTGACTGACTCAATCGATTCGCGTGGGGGCTCGTGCCTGCAAGAGCCACTGCGCGCGTCCGGGGACGCTTTAGAGACTCCAAATTCTGAAGCAAGCCGTCGTTGTCGACTCCGTGCTACTCGCGTGCCAGCCCTGCTGAAAAATTAAGCCGGCTGGCAGCGGGGAGCTTAGAACGTCGAGTTGATGCTAATTATGCCGCTATGTCGAATCAAACAGCAAGCGTAGCGCGTTTGCGGGCGGGGCACGATCGGTTCGCAAGCGCAAACACGCACACACGCGTAGCGCGTCTGAGCCACTCCGTGCGGACGGACGCCTTGTGGCTGTCGATCGTACGTCTGATTTGTGTTCCGGGGCCAAATGTGGTACGTGACGTTCCGTTTCCTCCCCCGGGAAAAAAAGGTGCCGGGGAAGACCGAGGCCGACGTAAAGTCGGCCCTCATGGCCATGGTGTCCAACAAGAAGGGGGTACCTGCGGACCAAGGGGAGGACGACGACCTACTATTCGGGTGAGAGCTGCTATAGCGCTGCGGTGGACCCCGTGTTGTAGCCTTGCGGGTCCCCCNACAAAGCCGGGACGGAGCACGCCGGGTTCTCACCGGACCAGGCTCTCACATCACCAAGCGCGAAGCGCCGTGAGATATTCGGCGAGCCGCATGAACGGTGAGCTGCATCCTGCTAAGGGTGTTCGGCATCTTGTGCTTACTTCCTTGCGTACGGATGACAGCTGCGTATGACTTAATATATTTTCTGGTGCTTTCACTTCCTGAGACAGTTGTAAGCATTGTGTATCGCATCGAGGGTGCTTGACCATATTAACACAACGTGGTGCGATGATCCCCCTTGCGCGGAGTGAGGGTTCTCGACCCCGCACAACATGATCTACTCGACCACCATTGTGCTTACCGCCAAAAAAAAAGAACGGAGGTAAAAAAAAAATCGGTAACCTGG